TTCAACTTATGTTTTCTGCCAGAAATGTTGCTCCAATCGAAACATTATAATTTTTCATTCAACCATGACAAATGGTTGCCTGTGAATTATACATATTCTGATACGCATATTTATTTTTACACATAAAAAAATCTTAAATTGTGCAAGATAGAACGACTAGTTTTTAATATATTATATAATTACAAATATACAAATTATTAATTAACTGGACTGTAGTTATAAGATCTATGAATACGATTGATAACGAGTCATTTATTATTAATTTAAACTGAGATAAAAGAATTAAAACAAATTTGTTTTGAAATTCTAAATATACTGTTATTTCTGCAATTGAAACTAATATACATGTTACAAAACTTGATAGTATACACATTTGTAATTCAGGCCCTACAATAAAAGAAAATTAATTCTGAAATAGTGAAAAAATTCGCGCATTTTATACAGGTAAATTATTTTGAATTTTTCGAATGTGCGCTTTTGTTTTTAGAAAATTGTTGGGGTTTAACGGGGCATTGAATTCTCGGCCCTAACAATAATTACATAATAAACGCGGCGTGTAAACATATTATTATAATATTGTAATTCGCACGCACATTCTACCCGACGATTTCGTTTATTACGGTCTCGCATTTCTGCCGTCGCGACGACCCTCCTCGCGCGATGAGCTTGTTAAACGGGGTCGTAGGCTCGATACGGTATATTTTATTATTATTATTGTGTGATTGTACAGTAATCGAATTAAGGCCGCGGCTATATACGTTCTGGTGCATAGAAAACGAGTATTAGACACCGGCATTTATATTAGTACACCACACCGTCTTTCACACACCGCAGCGCACGTTGCGCAGCCGGTCTCATGTATAAATTGTTGTAATATACGACGAGGGCAATTCGTATTCGATAATCAAACACACACACACACACACACACACACGCCTACTATAATATATTTATTGTGTATAACGTTTAATTAGACAATTACGATGTCTACGATGGGTGAATTGACGCACAAATTACGGCTATATATTGTTTAATGTGTAAAGTATAAAGCGCTGTCTTGAGGTGTGGGGGCAGGGGAAGAAACCCCGATATGTCGGTCTACCGAATGTCGGCCGGAAGTTGTGACGTGTTCACTTATACCTATATTTATAATATATATATATACATACATACTGACAATATTATTTACACGTCGGAAAACGGTTTAGTTAAATGCGTATTATGTATGCATGTTTAAACGCGCGTGATCGACTGACAGGACAATCCGGTTTTATATATTATTATATAGGCTGCACAGTGTGCAGGATGCAGTCAATTAATATTAGGTGTAACGTCCAGCCCTGTTTTTTTTGTTTTTTAAATTTATTTCTATATAGACTCCATTGTCACGAGACGTATGAAAACAAAAACAAAAATACAAAAAGGATATTAAACGCCAACGCGGTATCAACGGTCATCGCGTTTCGAGTGAAATTATATTTTTGAAGCAATACTATGCACTTTATCATACTATAACCAAACCTAACCTACATATTTATATTTGTTTGATTTATCCAATATTCATTTGCAGGAACTCCCGCGTGTATTGTAACACATTAAATATTTGTAAAACAAACAAGCAAAGTGACGTAGTAGGTACAATTGTTAGCTCAATCACCAAAAATATCTGCCCCATAAGTACGCCATACATTATTTCACAATTAATTACGCGCATTGTTCACACACTGGCGCCCCATGTAGCCACTGCGGCTATCGTATGGGAACCACCGAGATGGGGACCACAGAAGGCACAGAGACGCCGCTAGACGCGTAAATCTTTTCCATCGAATCTTTACTTCTCTGGTTTCGCCCAGTGGAAACACTTTTTTTTTTGCTCATCTAAAATTCTTACTACCTACATCTTTCCAAACCTATACGGCAGTTTCAGATACCATAGGCAGGCTGCTGTATTTGGTTAATCCACATCTCCTCGAACCTGATAGTTGTACTTATTATCACCTTGTTTTCTATCATACATTTAAACATGTCTATTATTTTTTCTCCCATAAACCATTATAAACACACACCCAATATTATGCCTGACTGACTAGTATATAATTATCATTATACATTGGCATGTATATAATTATATTATATTATATAATTGTTATACGCGAGTAAGAAATAACGTTTCATTATCATTTACTGGTAAAACCGGGACAAAACTGGGAAATAGATACAATATTAAACAAATATTATTAAAGAAAGTATACATTGCTCATTTAATTATTTTGCCATGATTGTAATATACATATATATTGTTGACAAAGTAACACTATTAACCTCGCTCCGCTCAAAATATCGTTTTTAATTGGCAATGGTTAATCATTATTGCGTATTATAGATATAAATCAAATTTCCCCTCTACCTTCTCAAATTCTCACCTACAATAGTGAGCGAATAGTAAATCCATCTTTTTTTTTTGTACTATTAGATCACTTTTTACACTTAGACACGAAGACACAATATATAGATATTAGACAATAGGTAACCTATATTATATAGTTTATTATTATTACTAGGTATACTCAATTTATAACGGACAGGCAATTTTTTTTTAGATATATATTTTTTGTTTATGTTTTTGTTTTTGTTTTTGGTCATAGGATACAAATTGAATATCAACATTCAACATATAGTTTTGAAATTGTGAATGTAACGAAAATCTGAAAATCTACATAGCTTATACTGCAACAGTAATCGTCTCAGTTTTTGTAAATTTATAAGACGATTCACTAGATTAAATATACTGAGAGTCAATTTAAGGTGTTGGCCCAAGTATACGACAAAATATCGTTATTTTCACAGAAGCGGCATTTTCGATCCAATTGTAAAATCTAAAATAATATTGAGTTCGTTTTCTTAATAGTAAAAATAGGTAAGCAGTAAAACACTAATAATTGTATTTATAAAAGAAAGAATCTTTTCAAAATTAAAAAATAGAAAAACATTAGAATAATATTTGCGATCACAAATCTCTCAATACTGTTAAATATGAGTTTAATACAAAAACAAAATATATTTTTAATATTCTAAATAGTGTTATGATAATTTTTTCTCGGGAACACTTTCGGCTAGTAGTGCGAAATGTGTAGTATGTAGCAGTATTTAACATGATTATATTTTTTTTTAATTTCTAAAAAATTTTAAAAACTTGACAACAAACTATGAGAACACTGGTTATTTTATTTTTGATGTTTTTGGGTTACCTTGACTATAATTTTGGGGAAAAGAATTCTTACCGGTTTACCAAAATCTGTACAGAGTGATGTTTTAAATGCAATGATTTTTGGTTGTTTTCAGTACCTGCTCAACATAAACTAAATTTCATTATATACCCGATACCTTTTAAAATGACCACTTAAAACGGTCTACCTGAATACTCATGGTGTAAAGTATAGGTCCGCTTTTTTTTTAAAATTTATATATTGAATTTTTTTTTTTTCAACATTCAACATGGGAAAACTAGGGAAAACGCAGGAAAATCGGTATAATATTAAATAAATATTGTTTAAGAAAATATATAATGCCTATTTAATTATTTTACAATATGATAAAGCATCAATATCAACTGATTTGTGCTCAGAATCGTTTTTTCGTCAACAATGGTTTATCGTTGCTAACAAATTTACATTAAATTACCAATAACAGTAGCTGCACCCATCTCCATTATCCTAGGACGTCTTATTAAATAATAATATTAAGAGATGGGCATGTACAAGAAGAATGTGTACATCATATTTATTAAAATTTAAATCACTTAGTTTAAGTAAAGATTTAAAAATGTTTTAAAATTTAAATCGTAAAATCAAAAAAAAAGAGTATTTCTGGGAAAAAATGTTTTTCGTAAAAAAAAAAGTTTTTTCTTTAAATTCAGAATTTTTTTTTTGTATTCCTCTAAGTACAGTATTCAGCTAACTGGGCATAGGCGGACGAGAGATATGATGACGAAGAAATAATAATAAGTAATACATCCAAAAAAGGAAAATAAAGTAAGCAAGAGGCGTTGACCCAGTGATGGGACAATAAAGACGGCGGCGCGGCGGCTGTGACCTTGACGGAGCGAGTAAAAACAAACGGGCGAACGCGAAGAAAACGACACGGCGTACAGGAGGCGGACGGGAAAGGAGAGCGGACGTGTTGACTACGGAAGTACATAAAAACGACGGTAATTCACGAAGCGGCGCGGCGGTGGCAAAAAAGACGCCAACGCCGCCGGTGTATACACGCACACACACGCGCTCGTCGCCGAGTTGACGAACGCGCACACATGTGGATACCACGCGGGGCGCGCGCGCCGATAACTGGGCGGGCGCCGCGCTCCGGTGGCCCGTCCCTCGGCCGGCGCGATTTCTTTCCGCGCCGAAGTTCGTCGGGTCGCGGGGCATTTTTTAGTCGACGGGTTGGCCGCAAACCGCCGCGCCCGGCCGCGGTGGGAGTACAGCAGCGTGTGCCCGTTACGGCGCGGCGGTGGCGGTACCGCACCGCCCGCTACCGCAGTACGGTCAATCAAAATCCCCCTCTGCCGCCGCGCCACGACCGTAATCGCGCGCGGCGGCGGCAGCCGCACGCGTTTTGCGGGATAAAAACCCCGGCCGCACGCAAAGACCACTGCCGACCGCGGTGGGCGGGAGGGGTGTGGGCGTCATCATCGAAGGGGGGAGGGTTGGGGGAGCCAGCGACGACGGTGTACGCCGCCGCCGACGACTAGTTTCGGACGGGGAGGGGAGCCGTTGGTCGCGCGCCGAGTTATACGGTAGCACGTGGGGTGGGTGGGGTGAGTAAACGCGCGGGGAAAAAAAAAAAACGTAAAACACTCTGCCGTGTCGGGCGGCCGCAACCCGCGGTAGCGGCGGTGGTGGCATCGGCGGCGTCGACGGCGGCGGCGGCGCGAGGTGGGGGACGACATAACACGAGGTCCCGAGGTCCCGTCGTCCGCGTGCGGAATATTTCAGTTGTGCCGAGATCGGTGACGCGGTTTGTCGCGTTTTTGGTTCACCTTTTTTTTTTTTCACCCCACACGCCGCCGCACTCTCCGCGCCACCCCTGTCGTTCTCGCCCGTTTGGACACCACCGCCAGTCGTGCCCATAGTACGCTTCGTGCCGGTTCGGCTACCGTCGGAATCGCGCGTTCTCGTATTGCGTGCCCCGTGTGCGTCTTCCCCGAGCAGATTTTCGCGCGCGGCCGTTTTTTATTTTACTGAGTTTAACTATTTTTATTATTTTTTTTTTTTTTTTGCTTTTCCGTTTTCCCTCCGCACACCTGTCCAAGTGCTTATAATCAAGTCCACTACATTCTCGACAAGTCCGACCAACATGGCAAGTACTTCCGTTAATATTTATATCAAGCTTAATCTACTGTATTTTTGATTTTTAAACGGTTTTTTCGAACGACAACTGGTTTGCAATCCAAAAAAATTTTCAAATAAAAAAAAAAATTATTACCTACTGAGGATACACGCTTATATTACACAGATGAAACATCAATTTGTACATATTAGTTTACTATTCTAAAAAAATCGTGTCGTGTATAGTATCGTAAAAAATGTTAAAAGGTACAATTATTTATTTTTCAAGTCATACCACGTTGACACCATATATAATTTAATACGATTTTTAAATTATTGCGGATTTTCGTATATATATATATATATATATCGGTTTTTCTCAGGAAAATCACAATTTAATTTTCAGTTATAATAAATTATTGTTTAAATAGGTTTTTTTTTTAAATTTTTTTCCGGTGTTCCGCCGTGTTCAATTAATTTCGCGTATACGCAGAAAAATTAATTAAAAAATAGGGGCCAAAAAATGAAACGCAGGATACTTGTTGATATACCTACTCGATTTGAAACTTTCAAATAATAATTATTCGCATTACGTATAGGTATAACCTACGCGATTTTCATTTTAAATATTTTCAAAAATATTTAATACGTTTCACAGAATATAAATTCGGATATATTTTTATTTTTTTTTTTTTGCTTAATCGCATTTTATGGTATACTCAGATATATGATGTGTGATAATATTTACCGTGGATTACAATTTGTCTACGGCAATGAAAATTTCGATTATCGAAAATCACAGTTAACAACGATACCTAACGTTATGATTTACGTTTGCGCAGGACGTCGACGCGGTGTACCAAAAGTACGTGGCGTGCATTCTGGAGGACGTCCGAGCCATTCATGGCAAAGAAATGGTGGCCACGGGCAGCCCGTCCGTATTCTGTTCCGTATTGCCCGGTCACTGGCGGTCGAACAAATCGCTGCCAATACCATTCAAAGTGGTCGTGTTGGACGAAGTGCCAGACGGGGCCGTGGTCGTCGTGCAAGCCGGAAACGACGAGAACCCGTCGGCCGACATGCGAAACTACCGGGCCCTGTCAGCCACCGGCGTAGCCGTCTTCAACGATCTCCGGTTCGTCGGCCGCAGCGGAAGAGGTTCGCATCACAATGTTATAATACACAATTATAATCATAATAAATTTTATAATTAATCGGTAAACCACAAAAAAATAAAACTCCCGGACAAGATACGAATAACATAATATACTAAACCGACATAATTTTTTTTTTTTTTTTTTTCAAAAATCTGCAACCAAACGTATTCATCCCGTCGCAGTTGCTGTAACGCATCAAAATTTAAATTCTGGCCTGATTATTTTATTGTGTAAAAAAAAGACATAAAACTGCTTAAATCTAAATTTAAAATTCGAAAATGCGTTTTATACGCGTTTTTTCATTTTTCTTTTACCGGGTACAAGTTATATTTTTAATCTTGTTTTACGGTTTTTTTTTTTTTGTTACGTATACACTATACATTATAAACAATACTATAATACTCTCTATAATAATATAATACATATCATGAATAATTTATAATATATATATATATATTGCTAGCCAATCGCGCACATAAATAATAATCTCATAGTAATTTTTCCAATAATTGTATGTGTATATATAGAATAATAACGTATTATTTACAATTGCAATAATAATAATATATATTGTTTTCACGTTATATAGGTAAACTGTTAACGCTCACCATCACAGTCCAATGTAAAGATCGAGTAGTATTGGTCGCCAATTACATTAAAGCCATCAAAATTACTGTCGACGGACCGCGATTGCCGCGATCCAACCACAGAGGTAAGTGTCTTTTTTTTTTCATATTTTTTACGATATAATATAACAACACGGATGCTAATATTTGCCGGTGCGTAATCGCGTTATCTCTGGCGGAATATAGGAATTTGCGTGGAAAAATAAACGTATAAACGACCCTCATTCCCGTTAGATATTATGCAGGGGGGTGTAATACGCAACGTGCATAGTTTCTCCTTACGCTATTCTCATCGTATAATCTCAACACGTGTTTATGGTATAGGCTCTTTACGAAAGTAACGCCCGTTACGAATTTTAACGTCTTAACCATCTCCCCTTACTCCCATTCATCGTGTATATAAGTTCTGCAAGTCAAAAAAAAAAAAAAATTGTAAATGCAGATAAAAACCGCGGACATACTTATTCGCACAACGGATAAGCTATATACTGTTGCTAATAGGTGATAGAAAATTAGGAACGTATTAAATATAGGTATATAATATATACGTTTGTATGTTTCTTGTACTGAAGACAACGATAAACCATTGCAATAAAAAAAAAAAAAAAAATTAACTCGGTAAACCGGTACCTATTTCGCATACAACTAAAGGTAACCCGGATATCAACAAAAATAAAATCATAAAACGTAACGTCATTAACTTTTTGTCGGTATATTCTTAATTTTCTGTATAGAAAAACGGTTGGAAATCTAGATAATAATGTATAGTATCAAATAAAATAAATTATATTTCTAATAAAATATAATAAAAAAATACGTATTTTTTGATAAGGTATACCGTATACCGTATACCGTATACCGTATACCGTGAAAAATGTGGAATCATTGTTACTCACCGAACAATAGGAAAAAATACATACAATTCTCAATAAAAATACATAATATTGTCTACTACTACGAAAAAGATCGTATCTCACTCTTTCAACTTTAAATTTTTTACTATATCGCCTGCCACAACGGAAAAGGTTCTATCTACACTTTTTCCAACTTTCAATCTCTTTGGACGAATAGAGACACGGCCTTTTTCGTGTTTTCGTGAACGATGATGCTGAATTCAAGATACGACCTTTTTCGTTTCAATAATTTATACGTATACTGTATACACTCATCGTAATCTAATATTTTTTGTATGCGATTTTTAAAATCTCACTGCGTATACGTTTTGTTCGACTTGTATGGTTTTATACGTACTATATAATATTATATGTTATTATTATTGTTCTTTAACACATTTCTTTAATTCCGCCGCCGTTTTTATTGAACAAAAAACAATACATTCGCCACGTTAGTTTTTATATTCGCGTAATTTTAGAATAAAACTATATAGTAATATATATATATATATATATATACTGTAGTGTTGACAATAGTGCAGTTTCTCGGTCCCCCTCGCATTGCTGCTGCTGCAGTCATTATATGACAAACGGTCTATACGGAGGGTTAAAAACCCCCTCGCTTTCGTCGACACGCGGCTCGCGAACTCGTTAAAAACATATATTATTATTTTCCCGACGACGACGAGTTGTTTCAATGAAAAATCATTGATCTCTGACACAACGGGGAGAAAAGATTTTCATTTTAGTTTATATATAGCTTTATTTCCATATAAATTTATATAAACACTTTACGTATATAATACGTGTCTCGTCTGCTGTAGTAGTGGTTCTCTTATATTATGATCGAACTCGGGAATGAACTCGCAAAAGTCGAATTATTGAAAAACGAATTTTTCTTTAGACTTCTTCAAACTTTCGACTACTCAAGTTAAATTGTAAAGGCAATTTTATTTAGAAAGCATCTGGATCGAATCGATGAAATACATTTATAACGATCAACTAATTAATATTTACTTAATATTATATAGCTGTTAAGGTTGTCAAAGCCGTTAAAATTCGGTGCTCAATGTGAGTAATAAAAAGACTAAAACTTCCAAAAAAAATAAATCAAACCAAAATCAAAATTTCACTACGAGTCGTGAGAGATTTCCAGCGAAGCATATCACTGTACTGTACAAGTTATACAGGACGGCTTCTGTACAAATACTTCATTGACGCTCGTATAAAAGACTTAGAAAAGCGCGTAATTTCAAATTGCAAATAGTATAATTTTCGTTATAAATCGACGTTTTTCGCATTCAACTCGCGCTTTATCGTCCACCTCCGTTAATCAACCTAAGCCTGCACAGGAAAATATACAAACCGAAATCGCCCGCTCGCTGTTTGATATTCTATTAATTCGCGCCGCGCGCTTCCTCGCTCGTCCGTCTCTCGCGCCGACTAATTCGATTGGTGTCCATTTGCCATAAAACTGCTGTTCGCACTTTTGACATTAAATTATTCGATCTATCACGCGTTCTATAAATTACATAATAATAGTTAAACTGCGGAACACAAAATGTGTTGTTTTTTTTTTTTTTTTAAAACCTCGTTTCGACTTGGTTTACGTTTTTCCACGTTGCCGATTTAAACATGTATATTTAAAAATGATTTTAATAATTTGGAACATGTAATTGATTAAATATACTGCTAAGTAACAAAACAAAAGCCACTGATAGGCGAGAAATTCAGAAGGTAATTTGAATAACAGCTTAAAATATATAGGTTGTAAAGATAAATGATATCGGAAATAAAAAAACAATTTTGAGTAACTAGAAATCGTAATACTAGTATATAAATATAATTAATGTGATTTTATTCATACAGTGTTACCGAGGAAACTCAGAAACATAAAAAAAGTCCAACATTTTAGTGTAATTTGGAAAATTAGAATTTAAAAATTCGTCTTCGAGATTTTGTATGACTCCCCGTAAAAATTTAGATTACTGCGTTAATAAATTATACATTGTTTTGAGAATTTTTCTCTCAAATACACATAATATCATTTCTTCCTGCAATTGTTTAATGTGGCAACGTCTCTGTGACATATAAAATTACAGGACGTATAAAGGTAATAAACACATTTGTACTGTTAAATTTATTGATATGGATTTCGAGTAGAAAATAAATAAATAAATAATATTTAAATGTCTATATTGGGTGATGCTTAAAGACCAAATTTGTTCTGGTATTTTAAACGTATAACGTATGATACATAAAAACGGTCTTATTGCTTCGTTCCTGAAAATTCCTTTTAATTAAGCTACTTATTATCAGCTAATAGTTTTATAGCCACCTTTAAAACTGATAATAAATTGAAATATTTTCGAGGCTCTTAAATAAAATGTAGAACGATTATTGAGAAGACGTACCTCAACAATAATTTTAAACATCAGCCTCCGCATAAATGTATAATATAATCGAAAAATTCGAAAACGTAATCTTCGGACATTATTAATATTATTATTATACCCAGGAATCACCATTGACGATTTCGAGAGTATATTAATATATATAATATCATATACAGAAAAATTCCGATTATTATTACTACCGACTTGCGAGTTCCGGTCGGAAAACACCACAGTTGATAAGCGGGGGATTTAATGGCCTGCACAGCCGTTTTCTCGACGATGACGACGGCTGGTGCAGCTCTTGGGCGGATATTACAAGCGTCGCTGTCCGAGAGTAGTTATTTTCGAGCGAGGGTAATACGTGTATTATAGATACGCGTACATAATATTATAACACTATAGGAAACGTACGGAAAAATTGTCGAAACGCGTAAATTCCATTTCCGACGCGGAAAATACATTAACTCGTATACGTTCATATATACACGCGTACAAAAAAAAAAACTATACGTATAGTGATGTGTGTTGCAGTGTGTCAACTCATTGGGCCGCGCGGATATAACGCGTTAACGAAGGTACGGAAAGACGTCACTGCGAATGCGAACGTGGTGCGGAAAAAAATAAATACAAAATGCCTAAAAGGGTTTTTGTTCGTGTGTGGGATTATCTGGTAGCTATATATATATACTCGTAATGGTACAGTCGTCGTGGTAGTGCATTAATCATCCGCTGGTTTTTCGACGGAAAGGTTATACCGTATATAGTATATATATTTAACAACAAGCGGTATAAATAATGAAAGACACATATATAGTATAGGTATACAGTCGTATATATAGGTATACACACATCAGGACGTGAAGTTGATTGGGGAACCCCTTGCGCTTTTTTTTTTTTTTTATATCCCTCCGTCCGGGACCCACTTTGCACACAGCAGTAGCAGCGTTTTCTTTTTTTTTTTGTACGAGTATTAACGCAATTAACACAAACGAACATACCTAAACTGTACACGAATAGTTTCGGATTTTTTTTTTTTTTTTGAAAGAGAGAGAGAGAGCAAATTTTATCCCTCTGAATTGATTAAGTAGTCTCGGGAATGCTTAANNNNTTTTTTATATCCCTCCGTCCGGGACCCACTTTGCACACAGCAGTAGCAGCGTTTTTTTTTTTTTTTTAAAGAGAGAGAGAGAGCAAATTTTATCCCTCTGAATTGATTAAGTAGTCTCGGGAATGCTTAATGAATCCGTATATCCATATCACTTTATCCTCTACATACACGCATTATACATAACGATGGCCGTTTTTATATTATTATATAGGTACATTGTTCAATCGATCGCTTCTTTTCGGGTTTTTTTTTTCTACACGTCCTTCCCTCTCGCTCAATATTATATACAATATACTGAAACGTGTTCCCTTTTTAATTATTTTTTACGCTTCTACTCGCGAAATCAATCTCGACAACTACACCGTTGTAGACGTCCCGAGGGCATCTCGTGAATAATATATTATATACCACGCATATATATATATATATAAATAATATAATATATAAAGGACATTATCGATTGCATATATCCTATAATGACTTTATATTATAATATATTAAATCGGGATTAAAAATATAATGTATAGATAAAATACAGGTAATATAGTAGAGATACTTGAATCATTTTAAATGCGAAAGAAACAGCAAAAAATGGATTACTTGCAATAAAATCACGTAGAGCTTTGTTATCCTGTATGCATCCTTCGTTACCAGGATTTGAAAGTCTACATAAACAGTAAAACCGTGTTAAGACACTCTCGATGTCTAATAATACTCAGTTTGTCGTCAATAGACAAAGCTTTTCTTTTTACTTCTAAACTACTAGATAACGTAGACGCATTTGTCTTTTTTCACATTAGAATTGCACAAAACAACAAAAATTAAAAATCAACGTGTGATGTCACGTACACCACATCAACGGCCGAACACGACTAATAATACAGTGCGAATATAATTTATAATAAAATAGAAATATAAGTTTATAATAAAATATCAAAATATCCGTTTATTAACAATCAATAATAGCTATATCAATGTATAGGCTTCTTACGTTTAATACGTTTAATAATGTAATTATCAAAAATTTACGTCCACGTATTGAACGGGATTTTTCTTCAATGTTCAAAGGTATAATTGGCGAGAAAAGAGAGCTTATATTGTGTGGGATATGCGTCTAAGTAGGAACTTATTAAACGTGTTTTTTTTTATGTTGAAATATCTACAAGGGCCAGGGACTGGAAAAAATCCGCGGGATGGTGTCTTAACGAGGTTTCACTGTACATATTTTATAATAATTGCGAATCTAGGGTATACAATTTTTTTTTTATATATATTTATTAAATATAGGTATATACGACTTGAGAGTCACAGCACGTTTGGTTACACAAATATATCACGGAAATTACGATAATTTCATACCGAAATACTATCATAATAATTTCACTTCGTATTATATCCTGATTACCCCCGTAGTAACCAACTAACCGATGTGATTTTCGTCGAAGTACTATACGGGTTTCGCACTTACAGTACACTAATATATACAATAATTTCTCAAAACAACGCATTATAGGTTCAGATCAACAGGTATGTAAATTAGGTTTTCGTACTGTCGTGTTATTTTTCAAGAGATATACGGTCGAATAGATAAGATTGTAGGTACCTATTATGTTTTTGGCAGATCACGTCTTGTAGCCCTGCAGTAGTATTATAGGTGTGTTTACTCTTATATATATATATATATATATATATATATATATGTATACACTGCAATCGCTATACGGTATCACTGTTATTTTTTAACAATATTATACCAAAAAATAGAAGAAGAAAAGTTCACAACGAATAAAAACTAAATCGTAATAATAGCAAATAATACGTCGTGATTTTCACTGTGACGTGACGGAATAACAAGAGGTATACAGCAAACTGTTGTGCGGAAACTCGTATATACGTACATAATAATATATGTATACAGAGGGTCGGGAAAGTATCCTGTCGCTCGACCGTGAGCGTGTGCGCGTACAATAGAACAGTTCACTAAAAAACGCGTCCCTTTAAAACGCTGCAGACTCGCGGCGCGTACACAATAGCTCCCGGTTTAGTCGCGGCTATTGTAACCCGTTGGCTGGAAGACGGGCTGGCGGGACGACGGTCGGGCGAGGCGGCGGCGACGGTGGTGGTAACGGCCGCGGTAGTGGCGCGGTGGCGGTGGTGTCGAACACTGCCGGAGGGGTTGAGGGGGGTGAGGTTTACCCGAGTAGTAAACATTTGGCCATAAAACTGACCCTCTTATGTCCCGCAAAAGGGGTAAAAATTACAATAGATTTCGCGGGGCGCGCGGAGGGGTTTTACGATAAGCTCTCGGGGCTTAACCCGAACCCCCTGCACACATACAAATATATATATACGCACGTCGACCACCCTATTCACAACGCATGCATCATGCCTTATGCCACAGCATCGGCCATTAAAATCCGGTCGGAGCGAGCGAGCGAGCGAGTGCTGGTACAGTGGATCGAGGGCGAGGACGAAACAGCAGTGTATGCAGACACAGAGAGAGCCGGAAGGGTGTGTGAGAGAGACCGAGTTCACAGTGGCATCCGTTAATAATTTAAATCGCAATTAAAATCAATACTGCACGTTACACGTCAAAAAAAAAAATGCATTTCACTTCCGATTTTTATCAATAAAAAAAAAAAAATTTACATACGGGTGATTGACGTTACAATTAGCCGCGACTATATAACTGTACAATACGCCGCCGGGGTGGTGTGTGACTTTTAATCCCTCTGCGGGAATTAATTCGTGCATACATAAATCGACCGATGGATGACACTATCGTCGTCGAAATGATAAAATATTTCAATTTTGTTTATGTGCATAGTATTATTACGTTTAAGGCCATTTAAATGCAAAATGCGGTTCTTTTTTCTTTTTTTTGTCCGGTATTCTATAGGCCAATACTGCGCGTTTCATGTAGATACGCGTAACTCGATTGCCGTGTAACAGGATATAATAACTATGTACTTAAAAAGTGAAACATTCTTGTTTTTTTTTTTTCACATATTTTGGTCATTCTTTCAAGAGCATTATTGCTGCCGAAATCCGGGCTCTATCATCATCATTTTAATATTGCATATAGTTATGTCGCGCGAACTATGTGGCCACTATAAACATTTTTTTTTTTTGTTTACGTAATGTTTCAGACGTGATACACGGTTACGGCGGTATGTTTCCCATGCACGGGCCTTTGCCGCCTTACGGAATGATCATGGAATACAAACGGCTGCTGGAAGGGGCTGCGTTGCCGGGGTCACTAAACTACCAATACATAGCGGCCAATTACTTCCAACTTCACAGTAAGTAGTGCAGTGCATACGTTTACGTGTATTTGTATACTGTACCGATGATTTTGCATCATATAAATGCCATATGGGGGTATATATAGGTATACACGGCCGTGCGGCGGGGAAGGGTTTCACGGTCCTTTCCTCGGCGCGGTTCACGGTTCAAACGAATCGAAGCAAACAGAATTTTCCGTTTGAATAGGCGATTTAGGAGCAAAAAAATAAAAAAAAATATCTAATCTCATTTGAAAAACCATGCACCATATCTACCTACCCACTTCTGCATTTATATATATATATATACGCGATACAAAGAACGGATAAATAATATATATATTTTTTTTTCTGCTACTTTCGCAGACGCGATGGAAGCGTCGCAAATGTACTGCGACATGCCACCCCTGCAGTCGGCGTTCAACTTCGCCGGTTACCAGCACAGCTTGCCACCCACGCCGCCGCACACCGAGGAAGAACCGGTCACGGCGCCGCCGGCGACGGCCGTGCGCGACAATAACGGCCGTTCAGGCGCGCGTCCGAAACGGCCCGCGTCCCTGTCCGAGTCCGTGACGACGACCACGGCTGTTTCGACCGCGTCCGCGCCCGAACGACCCACGCGGCATCCGCTGCAGGAGTCGTGCAAGCGACCCAAACGCGAGTCGGCCGCCAGCCCGGACATTGACATCGTCAATGTCGTGCGGTCGTCCAGTCCGGACGTGCTCAAACCCCGGCAAGAAAAAATCTGGCGGCCTTACGGCGCCACCGACGAATAATGTTCGACGCACACAATAAACCGTGTAAATAATATTTGTTTGACGAATAACGCGAGTACGAAGTGTAAAACGGGACACACTGTATACATCACTCTCTACCTCTGTTTCTCTCTCCCTGTATAATAATATATTTGCGTAATATATTATAGACAATCAACGGAGCGTTTATTAGGTTACGATTTGTGTATACTGTACTCGTACATAATTCAATGTTGTGATATTAGTGTTTAGGATTATAATATTTAAGTATATCTATATATTATTATGTAAACAAATTATTATTATTATTTTTTTTTATTATTATTATTATTATTATTTATCAGTACTTACTGCCGGAACCTATTTTTGTGATTTATACACGTGATATATTTTATTTATCGGTTATTAATTACGTATATGATATTATAACATTATGTTTGTGTAATAGAAAACGTAAAATCGAAAATATCATATTATGAACAGCACAGATATAAGCACGTGTACAGGGTAGGATTTCGAGGTTCAAAAAAAACATCCCCCCTATTAAAATTGTATAAATGTATCGTACACAAGTTCTATATAGTTTAAAATTTTGAATTTGTTTACTTATGAACCTCTCTTGAAACTGTCCCTACCTCCTGAAATATTTTTCTGTGTAAAGAACTTCTGTAAAAATAACAATAATAATAATAAAAAGACCGTCACCTCTATATAATGTGCAACGGTTATTTTTCTGGTCCTTTACAGAGGTGTTCATGTTATAAATACTATGGAAGTTTCACCATCACTGCGGTATAATATAGTAATATACCTATTCTATTATATTCAGTGCCCTTCCTTACGAAAACAAATATATAAAATATAACTTATATATTATTATAATACATTTTGTATCGTGTATAAAATTAAAATATAATCGCCGGCCGATTTTTGTGATAAATTATATTATATGTAAAATCTGTTATTATATATTATAGCGCGTGTGCAATTTTTTTTTTTTTTTATAAACAGAAAACACACGTGTATAACATATATTATATATTATATTATTTAAAAAAAAAAAAAGTCTTATTATTGTAGTTCCTATATTGGTTTTATTTAAAAATATGATCGCGAAATTCGTGTGCGGAGGCTGTGGCGATGATGACGGCTGTTTTCGCGGTATACTGCGGCCGCTGATTTCGACAAAGTCTCTATCCGCACCCCGACTGTGGCGTGTATGAGCTTCGTCCACCGCACCCCACAAAGAGGGATTTCTGTAAACCCTTATTCGAGGGTTGTCGTCGTGAGTCATGTACACACGCACACACACGCCACCCAATGCACAATAGTTGAGGGACCGCTGATTCACGATAAATAAATCTGGAGTATATATATATATATATATATATACAGGGTGTTTCTACAAATAACGTTTACTCGACGGGGTGTCCGAACGATCGTATTTTTGGAATATTTTTTATGCCTCTGAAATTTTAAGTTTCTTTTTACAATTTATACTCTTTGAATAATATTGCGTAAGTTTCTTCTTCTCTTTTATGTAGCCTAACAATTCTGTAAGAGTTTTAACCACCACAGTCACCGATCTCCAGCAGTCACGATCCTCGATTTTCTTCTTCCATTCTGTTACTAGTCTCTCCAGATCTTAGTGCACTCCGTCCAGCCACCGTTTTTTTGGCCTACCTCCGGGTCTTATTCCTGTTGAATTTTACTCAATTGCTGCACTAGTTCTACAATATTTTACCCCTCTTTTATCGTGTGGCCAAGCCACTAGATTCGCTGTTCCTTCAAGTAGCTTGTTATATTAGGTACTTCGATGATTTCCTTATTTCCTCATTTTTACTTCTTCGCCATCCACTTATTGAATAGTTGAACACTAGTTCAAAATTTTTTTTTAGCACTTTATTCTCAAAATTTCTAATTTTCCATTCATTTTGCGCTCTATAGGCCAAACTTAGCATCCATAAGTTAGTATTCGTCTTATAATGGTCACGTGTAGGCGTATTTTTGTACCTCTAGACCTAGAGAATAGTTTAGATTTACTCAGTGCAAAGAAGGCTCTTTCCATTATGAGCAGATGACTGCAGGTTATTTCAACGCTCTAGTCGTTGTTACTAGTGATTGCATAAGTTTATAAAAAGAAAAATTCCACATGACATTTTCTGCAAGATCAATTGATATGACATTGGGTTTTTTGTGCACGGTTTTTACGCTTACGCGATTATAATATGTCACCGAAAGATGAAAAAGTGATGTAACACGTCTGTACACGAGAAATATCGGGGCACAATTATCTATTGGTCGACTTCTAACGTACCTGATCAGTCAACCAGGATAGAATAATTTGCGAAAATGTATAGCGATTCATATGAGGCCTTTCAAAAAATATCACAGAAATCTAACCAACATACATATGAGTACTTAAAAATCTAAAAAAAAACCTGTTACGGAGAGAATACAGTAGAATATTAATATTGTAATACGGTAGCCCACATTTCAGAAACACTCTGTATATACGTATCCCTATTTTCTTGTAAATATTGTTTGAAAGAAGCCCTGCAACTGCACAGAGGGATTGAATATCATAAATACGTGAGTGGCTCTGCGTTTACTATATATATATATAGACATATAGTATTTTTCGCAATATGGATAATCCAGTAGGCATACCTATATATGATATGCATATAGTACCAATTCAATTTATATTATACTGTATGCAATAATAAATTATTGGAAACGAAAAATGATTCTAAGTAGTCGCGGTTTTCCCTTGTTGCCATGGGAATCCAGAAATTAACAAAAAATAAAACAAAAAAAAAATTTCTGAAAATTTTGATTAATGTTTCATACTACCGGGCTGATGTTCAAAACCGTATTTTTGAAAAAAATTATTAAATGTTTAAACAAATTTTTCAAATAAAGTACCATCGGTCGAAAATCTCGCATTTTTTAAGGTATGACATGAAAAAATTGAAATTTTTTTTCACACACATGATATGATGTAACTCAAAATATAATAATATAATAATAATTATTAAATTATTAAATATTGTTAACAGTATAATTTATTTTTATTTTACCTAAAACAAATGTCTTTTTATAGTAAAAAATATTAGTAAAAAAAAAAAAAATAAAGGTATAGATATTATATAATCGATGTATCCGAAACTTCCGATACGATTTCCGAGTTGTTACGAAGAGTAACATGTATTTGAAATCTGAATATATCTGAATTAGTTCTTGAATTGTTACGAATGATGTATCTAATTTTTTCCTTATTTAAAAGCAGTTTAAATTGTCCTTAATTCATCTGCGACGAAACCACGATAACATCTGAGATGGTTTTGTCATTCATCTTGTTAATTAATTGGTTGATGGCTAATTAGTGGTGGACTAGACGTGATTATTATCAGCAAAATTATATACCCTAAGAATGATTTTTTATTTGGAGTGCAACCACCTCTTCCTCTCGACAATTGTTTGTGTTGTTGGAAAATAATTATTTTGATCAATCAAATTAGAATGCCGCACATTTTTAGTTTACGATTCCCCCCCCCCCCCTTCTTTTCGAAATTATTTTTCAGTTACGACCTTGGTTATCTACAGTGATACCGATAAAAATAAATACTAAGATTATTACTGTCGGTAATAATATATAGTGTGTAATATATTATTATTATACGGTTTACATGACGCATCCGTTATTTTGTATTATGTATTATGGAATTTCGAAAAAAAAAAATAAAACGCTCATAGAATTTCGGGAGAACCGCCGCCACCGCCGCCGGACCACTTTGGCAATAGAAAATCCGGATAAACACCAGTGATTAATGGGTCTGCGGATCGTTTCCGTATAATATTTGTTTGGCGTCGTTGGTATATATACGCGTATACGAATCGGTGAATCGGTGTCCCGTTCCGGATATAAGACCGTCGAATACGAGTATACATAATACGTCTATACACTTATGTAGGTACCATATTTACCTCTATTTAGAAAACTCGACAAATGCCGCGGGGAACCTGCTGTTTTATAGAAATTGGTTTCCCGTTTCAATATTATTGTCTACGAAATCGTTTACGAGCGGCGGCGTCAGCGCTTTTATATCTGCAAGGTTAGGTTAGCCTGCAACCGGATTACCGTTCTTTTATGTTCTTCATTACACGGGATATTTCTGTAAATAATATATTATAATAGCGTCACGATGCCGGAAATGCAATTTCGTGTATATTATATTCGTATTATATGTTGTGAAATGTCCACACGCGCATATTGGCCATGTGTACAGACTATATAGGTACACGGCAGAGTTTGAAAAAAAAAATAAAAACCGTCCGTCGTAATTTTTTTATTTTTACATCGCTATAAACACAATAATAATAATAATAATAATAATATATAGTCTCCGTGTGTATAGGTATTATACAGAGCACAAAAAATACTATAATCGTCTCCCGTGTAAATCATAATAGCATCATATTTTCGGTGCATCAAATAAAAAATACTTGTTGGTGTTTCATTTTATTATTTTTTTTTTTTTGTTTAACGAAATGTAGGTCGGTGTGTTATATGATTTTTACAGGATAAAAAAAGATCATAAAACATAACAACAATATTTTCACACACGAAAATCTATAACGAACGACACAATTCCACCGTTTCGGCACCAGCCTGTACAGGTATACTTACCGTATACAAATGGCAAAAACCGAAATATGACAAAATAACAAAATATATTAACCCGACTTTGACTTTGAAATACTCGTGAAACTATATATATATATATATATACAAAGTATGTTGATAATTTCTTATATGCGATTGCGTATGTATATGGGAAATTGTCAAACCCGCGCATATTATAAATTATAATAATAATTCTGTTGGTTTTCACAGTATTTTCACCGCGTCACATATTTCCCGGGATATTTTGTTTTGTTTTGTTTTTTTTTTTCTGTTCGAAAAATCGACGGGATTCGCGGATTATGCAATAATAACAATATTGTATTAAATTATCGTCGTGTTTGCGGGAGGTTTATATAATATTACTGTATGCGCCTATATACATATAGTACTCGTACATCGAGGCAGGCAAATATATAAATTGGCGTCCGTTGTATTGATACAATACGCGAGTGTACAACAGTCAACAGCGATGTTTGCGAAAAAAAAAAAAACATCAATAACAATCCAAACCGCGTGTATATATATATAGTGTCGCGTATTAAACAAACGAAAATTTCGAGCCTGACGTCGCTCGGCCTTTTTCGGGGCGACGACGCGACTGTTTCCGCACACGCGGTATACAGTCGCATAGTATTGTACAGCGTAACGGCAATAATCGTTTTTCGGTTCTCTCCCCTTTGTAATAATAATAACAATATATACGCGTATATATTAAATGCTGCACGCGGCTATCGCGTCGGGATAGTTTTGTTCCTATATTATGTATATATTGTAATATAACGAAAAGGCCGGGGTTTTTTTTTTTTTTTTTCAAATAATAATCGAAACGTCACCCTACACCACCGTTACCGTGAACCGAAACGAACCGAAACGTTTTATACCATTTTGAATTCATCACAATAATAATTGTCGCTTTAGAAGCAACACCGCCTATATCCTATTCGTCGTCTGTCGAATTGAATTGGCGACACTGTTGTGTGTATTCACTTTGTGTAGACACCGTCTCTATGGCGTGTTCAAATAATTGTCGAAAGTCAACAGAAAACTTTTTAATCGAATATTTGATAGCCCGACGATTTTAAAATTATAAGGTAACACAATCTAATTATAATAAGACGTCCTCTATATATCTAACTTTTATCTCGATTTAAGAAAATGAAATGCGTGTTGACTCTATGTGTTATTTTTATCTCCTATAAAGTTGACAAAAACTAGATACGTTTATTCTCGACGATATTATTTAGCGATAACTATAGTTATAATATTCGTGATATCGTCATCACATATATACTATA